TTTTTTTTTTTTTTTTTTAAGCTTGATATTTTATTGTCTTCAACACAAAATAGATATCCTTGAATTGAGGAAGGTCCTAATATTAGAGTGGTTTTTTTTTTTTTTATTGAATAGGATTACAAATTGGAGGTGGGAGAATTCAAACCCTAATCAGAGATTAAGAGTTGTAACTTATGAGTTGACCTATAATCATTAATCAGGTCTAAGTATTAAAGTGACTTATTTAATTATTTATGTTTTATAATTTGATAAAATCCAACTTATAAAACACTTTTTTTTAAAAATTTTAATTCAAGGATTTGCTTAATTATCAGGTGGCATTAAGTTTTAAGAGTCTTGCTCTCTGTTTTCATAACATGTGTGGTGGTTTGATGCGAAGCATAGACTGGTTTACTGATTGGAGATCAAAAGAGCAGATAGCAAAGGAAAAGCTCCATCTTCACTGATTCTTCAGTTGTTCTTTCGCTGGCTGTCTAACCAGTCATGCATTCTGAATAATTAGCTCTATCAATTTTTTATGCAATTGTTTAATAACAGCTTAAACTCTTTATGGAAGATGTTCATCAATGTTCACATGTTCCATCCGCCAGAAGAAATGTAAGACTTATACAAGTATTAATTTATCATCTAAATAAAAACTCTAACTTTGGAACAATAGGTTTGTTTTATGAGGAAATGAGGTGCAGCTTATTCATAAACTAAAATTTTTCAACCATTAGGAATGCATTTAATATGGGAACAGATAGTGCAATCTCTAAACAGAAGGAAATCCATAGGTTGATCTTGCAGCTTTTGCAAATCCTACTCTGAGATTCCCAAAGTCGAACACTGTATGATATGCAGCGATGAACATATCTCCCAGGACCCTACAGAACACAGCAGTGGCACTGTCACCATTTATGTTTCAAGCAGCTCTAAAACTACATGGAATAGCTGTGGCAATAAGAAGACTAAGACAACAAACTGTTATGTCATACCAGAGGGGACCTTGTGGGGTACGAACGTCCAAGGGGACAAAACCACTAACACATATGGTAGTAGAAGAGTGGCTTTCTTCAAATCGAAGAATGTACTGAAAAGGAACATAAAAATACGTCAGAATTAAAGAAAATATACGTATTAGATAAACGGAAGCTGTGAAGAAGAATGCTTATTATGTTTACTCATATGAATGTTCATACCTGTTCTGCTGTAAGAGGGAATGATTTATCTCCAATGGTGAATGTAACTTCTGGCATGGTTTCTATTTCATCACAGTTGACAAATGATTTTCCCACTGGATTTGGGAGATTTTCGCATAGCTTTAACATATAATACAGAGAAACAAGAAAAGAGTTGCATTTGTTAGTCTTGGACAAACTATTTTTTTCACTGAATTTTGAAGAAAGAAGTTGGTTTGGAAAAGAAATCACCTGAGTCACGTATTTGAATATTTTTTCCTTTGTTTTCTGCTGTTTAAGCTGAACTTGAATCCAGAAAACAATCATCTCACAGAAAGTACAAAGAGAATACTCACCACTCTCACTTGATCTATTTTCTACCAATGTCTCTATGCCACTGCTGCATGGTTTTGGGTTGAATTCTCAGTATGAGAATTAGGAATCAGAACTGATATCAAATATGAGGTAAAAAAAGAATGAAATTGTTACCTAGTGTGTTTTGATTTATTATAGGAACATGGTCCAACTTCAGCACATACAATGTCAGGTCGCACCTATGGAGATCAGTGTAGTAAATTGTAAAAGACGTCCATTCATCTTTTTGGTAGGATTTTAAGGAGATTGTGAAAGGGGAAAGAACAAACCCCAGATATCATGTAGTCCCACAGGGAGTATCCATACTCAAAAACAACCTTTTTGCATTCCAAGCTGATAATTCCTTCTGCACCAATAACATGGTTGATCTGAGCCACGACAGCCTGAAAAATTGAAGCTAGTCAGAATGGCTCGAAAGATAAGGCAAATGATGAATAAAGTTTAACAAAATTAATGAAAGCTATATCAGATTGAAGAGCAAATACAGTTGGACCAGCAAGAAAGGTTGTTCCTGAATCCACAATGGCAGCACAGCCTTTCGCACACAGTCCTGTGAATCGGAGCCATTAAAATTGTTTTCTTTTGTCAAATTTATCTGATATAATCTTCTGCAGACTTCTGGTTCTTAACATAAGTTGTCATTCATGATTGAACAGAAAGAAAAAATAGATGGCTCAGCACCTGTGGAGTTGTTTGCCACTAGAATTTCTCCCATTGCAATCTGAAAATATGAATGAATGAATTTAGGGTTGAAGGCCTTCCTCTTTTATGAGAATCAGATAGATGATTTATAAGCTATGAAGTACTTAAGAGACCTGCCAGTAACCCTGTCTGGTAACCGGTACAAAAGTGTGCTCACCCTTGAAATGCCTCCAATCAAGCCCCCCAAAAACGATTTCACCTCCCAACCTTGATGATGAATCTTGGTTTAGCCAGATAGAGAAAAGTTGCTGGCTCAAATGTCCTTGTTCCATCATATTATACCTGCATTCAGAGTGTTATAGTACTAGTATACATGAAATACTTCCCCAAAACTTGGATGGTATATTGTTAGTTTAAGACTAATTAAGCATAAGATCATTCAACATTTATACCACACAGGTGTAGCTCGGCCAACAGAAATGTCCTGGAATCCGAGTCCAAGAACCCCATCAAATTTTGTAATCAGGAATGCTAAATATTCTTCCTTTGTAATCTCGACGAACTCCTGGAGGATTGTAAATTTCATCTATTATTCTAACGGAAACACAATCATATTTGTAAAATTTCATACAAGAAAAAACTCACTTGGTCTTTGACAACAATATCTCCAACTTTAACATGATCTTGACCGAAGAAACCAGCAATAGAACCAGAGCCATATTCAATTTCACAAGGTATTCCTGAATAAAAGAGCAATGCTTAGAAGGAAAAGATGAATACCCACAGGAAAAAGGAGCAACTTTGAGATCATCAGAGGGCACAAAGTACCAATCTTGATATAAGTATGGGATAGCCGTGCCCGGAACTTGGAATGCATGTAGCAAGCAATCTGCAGAAAAGGGATTCTAAGCAAAGTAATCAAGTAGCCCTGGGGGAAATTAACAGACTTCATATTCAGCTGAGGCTTACTGAGAAAAGGCATTTTGAAGATGGGACCCAAAGATTGGAGGCTCCAGTATCAAAAACAGCATCAAAACTTTGTGAGGGTGAACCTATACCAATCTCTCCATAATATTGGATATCAAGATAATTCTTCAGATATAATACATCTGCGCTCTGATCATGCAAATTCCTAGTAACGTCTCCTCGGATGATTCTTGCAGCATTTATTCTTTTCAGGTCTAAAGGCTGTTTCTTCAGACCAATCCTCAGTAGCCCATTGGAGGAAGCAGTGAAAACCAAGGAGACCCACCATGCCCATATACAGGTTGCAACTAGAAAAAACTTAATGCTCATGATCAAATAATTACCTGGTTTAACATAAAATTAAGAAAAATAATATTGACATTGAAGAGATGGCAATAATATTGTAACTGAGTACAGCTTGCATGATCTTCTAATAATCAAACATGGCAATTTGAGGATTATGAATTGATGATAGATATAAGGGGTAAGAGTTGGTTCATACCTGAGGTCCGCTGGGGTTTGGAATGGAACTGCAAATTCAGGTTGAGAGGCTCAGGATCAGGAAGTCCACTGAGCAGGAGATTGAGCCGCAGATACTAGCTGGGAGGGAGACTGTTACCTTTGCTCCTTAAGTAGGAGGAGAAAGAGACCATTTTTGTCCACAGTTCTTCCAAAGCCCCGTACTTTGATGTTTTTCATGCAGGTTAGCGACCAATAAAGCACTATTTCAGTCCTGTTCAGGAAACTACCACGTAATTTCCTTGACAATGGCCATGGAAGAGGGAACCCAGATAGAGAACTTGAGAATTTCATAGAACAGTTAGTACAGAGAAGATGCCCTTCTCCTGATGGTCAACAAAGGGACAACATTCACCATTGTCCTTAATCGAGAAAATTCTTCATTTCTTTCCTTTTGGTTTCTATATCAATAGAGGGGTAAAGACCAGGACGGGCGTTTTCATTGCTTTCTTTCTTCAATCTTTTTGGTTGTCCCGATTATTTAGATATTTTTGCTTCTTTTAGAAATTAGAAATCCTGAACCAGGAAGATTTATTTCAATGGCTCTTTATGTAGTTGAAAATAGGTTCAAAAATTTCCGGTCTTTTTCTTAGATTGAATCAGATAACTGAGACTGAGGTATAATGCTGAAGCATGTAGAATCATTTTTCAAATTTTCCTTTAATTTCAGATGATTACATGTTCTCTGATACAAGTAAATGAAAACATAAGTACAAGAACTTGGATACATGGCCATGACCCATGAGGATGAGGACTGCTACAACATATACCAGCCATCCTCCATTTTCGTCATACCAGTCATTATTACTCCACTTGTGGCGACTGGATCATTCATTATTAACACTCAGCAAGCAGCTTCTGCAAATCCTACTCGAAGGTTACCAAAATCGAACACTGTGTGATATGCTTCCATGAAGATTTCCCCAAAAATCCTGTGTGTAAGTAAATGAATGCATAGATCAGGAAAGGAGATTCACATGCTAGAACAAAACATATTCATGTGAAGCGAGTCAAGTCTTGTACATTGTAACATCAGTCCATCATTAATGGCCAGATTGCTATGAAAACAAGGAATAACTGATCAAATAAGAACTTACCAGAGGGGGCCTTGGGGAGGAGAAACATCTAAAGGAATAAAACCGCTGATGCAGAAGGTAGAATGGTCTTGTTCCACTTTGAGAACGTACTGATTTGTCAACAGAATGGAATCATGAAACAGAAAAGGAAAAGGTTCTATCACTCATTATACTTCAGCAAAATAAAGAGAAGATAATTAGCATTGAATCTAACTTTTTGTTTTAAAATCCTCTCTGCTTCTGAATAATTATAACAATAGACATTGGTAATGGCTGCCAATCAGCACACTAAATTCCAAATTGATCATGAAGGAAAATTTAAGAACAAACCTATACCTGCTCAGGAGTGAGATGGAAGGTTTTATTCCCCATGACAAATGAAACAGATGGCATGTTTCTCATTTGGCCACAATCAATTTGCTGCAGTTCACTTAGTGGATTTGGCAGGTTGTCACACAACTTCAGTAAGGTTAAATGTATGAAGATTGTTAATCCCACTGTTCAACATCAGTTCTTAGAACTATTTATGCAAACAAAGGAAGATACAAAGGATGCAGACCTTTTGCACATATTCAAGTACTTTTTGTTTCGTCTTATTATGTTTAAGACCAGCTCGGATCCATGTAACAGTTAACTCACAGGCCATGCATACAAGGTTCTCGCTGACTGCTGTACCCAATTCTTTCTTCTTTCCCACCACCATTTTAATAGTATTTCTAGGCCTGGATCCAGATTTTCATGTTCAACAAAAATTCTGAAGCATCAAATATGGTATTAAGCAAAAAGGATGAAGTTCCTAACCTTTCTTGCTTAGTGCCATTGTAAGTAGGACACATGCCAATAGAGGAACAGAATTTGTTAGGCTGTAGCTGTAGATAAAGGGCAAGAAGTATAAGAGACCATCCACTGGTCATGTTTTAAGATATAATAATGGAATACCAAAGGACAAACCCCTGATACGAAGAGTTCCCACATCAGATCCCAATACTGAGTTACTACTTTTCTACATTCCATATTCATAAATCCTTTTGCTCCTATAGCGCGGTTAATTTCAGTCACAATAGCCTGCAATTGAAGAATTTATTATGCTAATTAAACAGAACATATTCAGAAAATCCAGTCAAGCTTCTTTAGGACTTTCTGATTCATAATCACAAGGGTACAGGAGAACACCGTAGGACCAGCTATGAAGGCAGTGCCAGAATCCACAATAGCGGAACATCCAGCAGCACAAAAACCTGTTATGTTAAATTTGAAAAACCAAAAGTCTCACATATCAGCAATAATAATTTTCTCATTCAATTTTCAAATAATATTGTCATAGGATATTTTAAAGATAGAACTTGCTGCATAAGCTAGAAGTTTTTTGGTTTTTCCTACTGGTATTGGTATTTAACTTTGAAATGTCAAAAGAAAGGATCTAAATGGTACTTCTAAATAACAAGGGCTCCTTAATTTTTTTTTTTTTGTCAAGTATGCTATGTTCTTTGTTTCTGAGATTCAGTGCAGAAGGTAAATGTCAGAACTAAGAGAAGTACTCCTGCTCCTAGTGTTTCTTCCTTGTGGTTTAATCATAAATCTAGATTTTCTTGTATGATGATCTTCAATTCTACAATAAACAACTGAAACAAAACAACTAAAATCCCAAAATGATGTAGGTAAACTGTAGCATTACCTGTGGAATTGTTTTTAATTAAAAACTCTTGAACTTCAATCTATACACAGAAAAACATAAAAGCAAAAGGAACATGTTAACTAAAATTTCCTGAAGAGTAGATAGAATGATGTTGTAGATATGGAACAGAAGAAGTGTACCTGCCAGTGACCATTCGGAGTGACTGGAACATAAGTATGCTCTCCCTTGAAGTGCTTCTGATCAAGACCACCAAAGACAATTTCACCTCCCTCAATGTATGTTGGATCTTTGTTGAACCAGAAAGAGAACATTTTCTCAACAACTAGACCTTGTTGGACCATACTGTGCCTGCATGGAAAGAATGGAACAGTTAAATGGAGGTGAAATCCTGTCTAACACTTAAATGGAAGAATTATGTAAAACAACTTTATGGTAGAATAGAAAAAGAACTGCACCATAGTGGCACCACATTCCCAACAGAATAATCCTGAAACCCTAATCCAAGTACGCCATCAAATTTTGCCAAGGCGAGCATAAGGCTTCCTTCTTTTGTGGCCTCCACAAATATCTAAGTAGTCATAACAAATGGCATGGCATCAATGGAATAAGTGGTAATGCTAGATAAGAATTCAATTGCAGAATCTAAAAACTTGAGGAGAAAAGATCTACTTGATTTTTGACAACAAGATCCCCTATCTCAACATTATCTCCACTGAGGAAGCCCAAAATTGTTCCAGAACCATAATGAATTTTGCAAGGTTTCCCTAGATCAAAATCAATAAGAAATCAGAAATCCATTTTGAAACATATCTGGAAATTTCATGGAATTCTGCATCATTGGGATTACCAATCTCCAAGTATGTGCTGGACTGGCTAGAGTTGTAACTAGTATGGACAATGCAAGGCAGCTGCATGGAGAGAGAACTTTTTAAGCTATGAAACAACAGGACCAACCCTATAAACTTTAAAAATCAATAATTTGAAAAGGGAAACTCACAGAAAAATAACAATGTGAAGACGGAACCCAGAGGTTAGAACTGCCAGTGTCAAAGACTACAGAGAACTTTTGTGGAGGTGAACCAATTCCAATTTCTCCATAATACTGAACATCAAAATAGTTCTTCAGGGAGACTACGCTTTGCACTCCATCATCATCAAGTGCAGTCAACGTTTCCTTAATGTTCTCTTTGATTCTAGTAGCAACTATCCTGTTAAGATCTAAGCGCCGTTTTTTCAAGCTGAGTCTCACTAAACCATCAGATGAAGAAGCAGCAGCCAAGCAGCAGATACAAGAGCATAAACACATAACCAAAAGTAATTTCTCCCCCATCTGTCAAGGATCTTTCCTGCTTCAATAGGAAAGATGGTAACTTCAATAAACCAAAAAAAATACTATAATCATATTCTAATAAAAAACTCTCAAGCTTGGAAACAACACAATGATGATAAATCATAGAAAGAACATAATAAAACCGGTAAGAAAATTTAGGATTTTGGGCTTCTTAGGTATATATAAGGTCAATTTTAGACAAAAAGAGAGACAAAAGATGAGAATGATCTGCCTGAGAGTAGACAAACAGATTAACATTTGTTATGCAAGATTCAATGAAAAAAAAAGAACCTCATGCTAACATGCAGCAGAACAAAGAGCATTGTCAGCAAAAGATATACAATAACAGAATGATTGTCCAGACCAGAGATGGTGATACCTGATAAAACTTGAAGAGCAAGCAGGATAAACAGAAAAATGAAAGCTAAGAACGAAAGGTCTTTGATAAATAAAGACTGAAATACTCAGGAAATTTAAATAGAAGCAATTCACTCGAGAGTAAGGAGAGGGATCAGTTTCCGAGTACGGTTGTTCTTCTGCTGTTTTGGAACAATCCACGAAGCTTCCCATCGCATGGCTACAAAGATGGCGCATAACTGATGTGACAGAACCGAAATGACCCACTTGAAGCAGTTGAAATTCGGCGGCAAAACAAGAATTCACCAATTGAAACCACCAGGAGGAAGGCAGGGGTGAGGGGTCCAGTGATAATAGCTTATTTGATCTTCCACTACAACAGCACTCAGTTGTGGCTTCAAAAAAATATTAACTTTATGTGAGACCCAACATTAAGCATGCAAGATGAACACCACGATAAGGATTATTCAATCAAAATCTGATAAAAGTATGAATTTTTAGAGGTGGGTTTTCAAGCAAATACAAGAGAGTGGGAAAAAAAACAGTTTTTTTCTCTTTTTTTTTTGTTGATTTCAGACTCGTTTGAAACCTACCACTCTCTTTTGATATGCACAAGAACGTCAGCTTCACTAATTTATTCATCACCATGTTCATTGTTTATTGGGATAATGAAAAAAAAAAAAAAGGATAGCACAAGGAAAGTACATACTCTACTTTTCCTTGTTCCTTTCCCTGGGTGTGATTATGGCCAGATGTGAGTTTGTTA